GTTTGATGCAGTTATTGGATACAAAGATAAATGATGAAGACTGCCTGGTTTTCTTGAAAGCTGATTTACCGGGCTCAAGTTGATTTCTTCCCATATTAATCAAGATTTTAATGTTTTTAACTTTTGTTTTTCTCGATATCTTGCTTCTTCACCGTCTCCTCTTGAAGTGTGACCATGAAAGCCAGTTTCACATCCTAGAGCCAAGTGGCCTTAAGAGTTGCTCTTGCCAGGCGGTGGTGGCGCACGCCTTTAATCCCAGCACTCAGGAGGCAGAGCCAGGTGGATCTCTGTGAGTTCAAGGCCAGCCTGGTCTACAGAGCGAGATCCAGGACAGGCACCAAAACTACACAGAGAAACTCTGTCTCAAAAAACAAAAAACAAAACAACAACAACAAAAGAGTTGCTCTTACTGAAAAGGGATGGGCGGGGGTGGGGTGGGGTGGGGACAGTCTATTTCATGATAATACATTTCCCAGATTTTGTAGCTCGTCACCAAGTTTTCAGAGCTTGTGCTATCAATTTTTATTTACAGTGTTTGTAATTGCACTCTCAGTTTATATAATTCACATTTCCTCTTCTATTCCATATACAATTAGAAACCTTTATCTCTAGATTGAATGAAGGACTGCGTCCTGTGTCACTTCACAATGGTTTCATGTGCTCTGGGACATTCCATCCCATTTATCAAATACCGTTTCCTTAAATACCAGTCCAAGTAAGCTGGGGGTAGATGCTGTGGCAGAGATAAAAGCATCTGCAGGATTTCAGGCTGAAGTACAGGGGAATACACTTACAATGCTAATAACAAATGGACCAGATTTCAGTTCTGAGTGTCTCCATCTGCTACACATAGAACATGACTTGAACTTTAAAGGAAAATCAATGATGCAATAAAGTCTCTCTCTCTCTCTCTCTCTCTCTCTTGGTTTTGTTTTGCTTTTTGTCTCCAGAAATTTCTTGAATGTGAAGTTCGGTGAGGTGGAACTGTATGATCAGGCTTCAGGTGGGGCTGGGTATGTGGCTCTATTGGTAGAGTACAAACCTGACGTGCACAAACCACTGGTTCCACCCCTAGCACTCTGCAAATCTGGCCTGGTAGCACACGCACTTATCCCGGGGTTCTAGAGCTGGAGGCAGGAGGAGGTTCAAGGTCACACTCAGCTATGTTGTGAGTTGGAGTCAGGATACCTGAGACCCTGTTTTAAAAAGAATGGCACTTAAAGGGGAAGCACCTGATACGGTATGGTAGCCCCCATCTCCCTTCGAAACGGCTTTATTCATTGGGCTAATATCCATGTACCATAGGCTTGCCGACCTTAGCTGCCAGTGGAGTGGGCATGGTGGAAGCCTCCAGAAACTTTAGTAAGAGAACTCACTGTGAATTTCAGGATTTCCATGAAACACATTTTAGCTTCCAAAACTTTCATCAGAAATTAAAGCAAAGATGAATTTTAGCAGTGACCAGCATGTGCCCTGCTTCTTTACCTATGAAGCTGGCAAAATAGAAACTCATTTCTTTTGGTAGACTTTTTTTTTTTATTAAGAAAAAATGTTTTTATTCACTTACATACCAATCACAGATCCCCTTTTTCCCTCCTCCCGCTCCTCCAGCCTCCCCTCCCCAAACCCACCCCCCATTCCCTCCTCATCCAAGGCAAGGCCTCCCATGGGGAGTCAGCAGAGCCTGGTACATTTAGGAGAGGCAGGTCCAAGCCCCTCCCCCTGCATCAAGGCTGTGTAAGATGTTCCACCATAGGCACTGGGCTCCAAAAAGCCTGTTCATGCACCAGGGATGGATCCCAATCCTACTGCGGAGCGGGGCGGGGGACTTAAGCAGATCAAGCTACACAACTGTCTGGCTTATGCAGAGGGCCTAGTCCAGTCCTGTGGAGGCTCCTCAGGTGTTAGTCTAAATGTCATGAATTCCCACTAGTTTGGTTTGGTTGTCTCTGTAGGTTTCCACATCATGATCTTGATGCCCTTGCTCATAGAATCCCTCTTCTCTCTCTTTGACTGGACTCCTGGAGCTCAGCCTGGTGTTTGGCTGTGGATCCCTGCATCTGCTTCCATCAGTTACTGGAGAAAGGCTCTATGATGACAGTTAGGGTATTCACCAATCTGATTACTGGGGTAAGCCAGCTCAGGCACCCTCTCCACTATTGCTAGTAGTCTAAGCAGGGGTCATCCACTTGTGGATTCCTGGGAACTTCTCTAGCACCCAGTTTCTCCCTATGCCCATGATGTCTCCCTCTATCATGGTATCTCTTTCCTTGCTCTCCCGTCCCTGTTCCAGCTCGACCATCCCGTTCACTTATGTTCTCATCCCCCATGCCCTACTCTCCATTGCCCCCGCCATCCCCAGTTTACCCATAGAGATCTCATCTATTTCCCTTTCCCAGGGCAACCCATGCGTCCCTCTTTGGGTCCTCCTTGTTAGCTAGCTTCTCTGGAGCTGTGGGTTGCAGTCTGGTTATCCTTTGCTTTACATCTAGTATCCACTTATGAGTGAGTACATACCATATTTGTCCTCTGTTTGGGTTACCTCACTCAGGATATTTTTCTAGTTCCATCCATTTGCCTGCAAATTTCATTTTTTTTTTTTTTTTTACTGCTGAGTAGTACTCCATTGTGTATATGTACCACATTTTCTTAATTCATTCTTCTGTTGAGGGGCATCTAGGTTGTGGAAACTCATTTCTTTAATGTTAAGACACACAACAGGCAGAGATTGCCACATAATTGTTGTAAAATATTTGTGTACACTGTGAAGATATGTCTTTGCCAAGGCACCTTCTGATTGGTTTAATAAAGAGCTAAATGACCAATAGCTAGGCAGGAGAGGATAGGCAGGACTTCCGGGCAGAGAGAGGAAAGGGGAAGGAGGAATCTAGGCACAGGAATTTCACTAGCAGACTTGGAGCAAGTTGGACATGCTGTATAGAGGAGAGGTAACCAAACCGTGTGGCAGAACATAGATTAAAAATATGGGTTAATTAATTTATAAGAGTTAATTGAGGATGAGCCTAAGCTAAAGGCCAAGCTTTCATAATTAATAAGTCTCTGTGTCATTATTTGTGAGCTGGTGGTCCCAAAAGAAAGTCAAACTACACATGATCTCACAGCAGTCCTGTGCAATGGGACCTTTAGGACCCAAACTGGCTATGGACAGAGCAGGAGCCACCGGAACCCAGAAGAGTAACTCTTTTGACTTAGTTTTTCTCTCTGCGTTTCTTAAAAAGCTTGTTCTAAATCACCAACGTTAGGCAGTGGCTCCCTTGACTCAGAGTCTGAGGCTTATTCAATGTTGTTTGAAGTTAATCCTCACTTGAAATCTGCCTCTCACTAGTATGAGAAAATCCACCTTGTTCATCAGTAGGGCTGCCTCTGAGGATCACACCCAAATCCAAGAACTGAGAGGCTGATTGCCAGCGGTCAGGATTGTGTTCCTGCACTGGGGCCACTTTTCATGTGATGACTAATCCTGATTGTCAGTTTATTTGGATTAAGGAATGCCTGGGGAATTAGCAACGCTCACTACTGGGTGTGCCAGGGAGGTCCTTTCCAGAGACAGTGACTAAGAAAGGAATGCCTCCCTGATATGACAGCACTGTCCTACAGCCTGGGACTGTGGGTGGGACAGAGGGGTAATGAGGGGCACCCCAGAGCCCAGGGGCACCCCGTGCCCTGACTACCACAGTCCAACAGCCCTGCCCACCAGCTCTTCTGCTCTCTCTCTCACAGGTCAGAATCACCAGGTGAGCTGGTCTTGGATTGCAACCTCCTGAGGAAAAGCCACTTCTTCCTCCCTTGAGTTGCTTACTTAAGTGTCTGCCTCATCCCGGCTGCCCTGCTGGCTTGCCAGAATCTTACATTTTATTGGAAACAAAGACCAGAAATGGTGGGAAGTCAGGCCCTTTTCTTTAGCCCAAGTTTGCTGATCATTGACCATATAAACTCCGTGTAAGTCCCAAGAATAGATTATTGCCCTAAAGGTCCTCTGCTTCCACTTCCATTTACCCACACTTTCTTCAGAATTCAAAATATATTTGAAAAATCAGCATATAGATGTCCAGGATAGGAGGGAAACTGCTTAACCTAGAACAAACACTACTGTTTAGACACTGAGTTCCTTCACTTGGAAGTGTGGGACCTGGACCATCTCTGCACGCCACAGTGTAAGTTATCTTGAAACTGAAACAAACAGGTCAGCAGTGGAGTGTGGTCTAACTCCTCTCAGGACACAAAATCTTCCTCAAAATAGATAAGAGCGTTTATTTCCTGTAGAACTAACGGGGTTTGGCTTGTTTTACTTCGTCATCCTTTGTCAAAGACTGAGGGAGATGAACCTCTTACTTCGTGGTCTTCTGTCCAGTTCTAGGTGCCCGGTAGTGTAGAGAGCACTGGACAGCCTAGTCCAAGCTAGAATCTAGCACAAGCTGAGAAATTCTCAACCTGTGGGGCACGATCCCTTTGGGTATTGAACAATTGTTTCACAGGGGTCACCTAAGACCACCTGCATATCAGATATTTGCATTATAGTTCATAACAGTGGCAAAATTACAGTTATGAACTAACAATGAAAATAATTGTATGGTTTAGGGTCACTACAACATGAGGAACTGTGTTAAGGGCCAAAGCATTGGGAAGGTTGAGAACCACTGGGCTAGATGGTCATGAGTTTCATTTTCCTGTCTATGAAGTGACTAAATCAGCCCACATAATCTCCCCGTGACCTTTTGCTCTGTTAAATACATGCCTTTCAGTCAAAGCAAGCGAGAGGTAGCACTTTCTCAGCCTCACTGGTGTTTCCCACCAGAATGACACTTCTGACAAGTGTCCAAGACCAAACACAGAATAATTTCCTTCGTTTCTCTTCATACATTCCATGCCAGTCACCATCCCCACGAGGTTGCTTCCAGCCTGGATCCCTCTCTGAAGTTCAGGGACACATCCAAGTGACTTCTTGATGTCTCTATAGGTCTGCCAACAGGGACCTTTAACCAAGAAAAGAAAATGACAGAGTTTAGAAGTATTTCAGTTTAATAAGACTCTAAATAATGGAAATGGTTCTAGTTTAGTTGGGAAATTTTTACAGAGTAACTTGTCCTGGGATGTGCTGTGAAGAAAATTAGTGTTTAAGCTTCCAGATTCGAGTCAGAAGCAAACAATTGATCTAAACCATGGCCAGACTAAACTTGCAATGAAAATATATTGCAGACAATGATTTTGGCCTGATATGGTGATGCATGCCTGTCATCCCAGAACTCGGGAGGCTGAGGCAGAAAGATCATGAGTTTGAGGCCAGCATGAGCTACATAGCTAGATTCTGTCTCCAAATGAATAAAAACACACAACCCTCCCCCCAAAGTTTTTCAATCAGGAGGCAGATCTGTTTTGAACAGTTAAAATTCGGTAAATGAAGAACATATATGTTCTGGCCCACAGAAAATGAGGACAGAGAAAAAAAGATGATGCACCAAGTTCCCTCAGACTGACTGCAGCATCCCAGCTATTTGAGAAAAATTTAACTGCTTTGCACTTTCTCAGTGTTTCTCAACTCTTGGATACCACATGTCCTCTAGAGGTAAAATATAGGTCCCACTACAAATCTGAGGCTGCTTTTCTGAAGCATATGAGGGCTGTGTGAACTTGGATGGTGTCTATCCTCTGGTCTGGTCCCTGCAAGTGTCAGAGGAGGCTGTAAGAGGGTACCAGATTTCCTGGAACTGGAGTTGCAAGAGGTTGTGAGCTTCCTGGTACGGGTACTGGGAACTGAGCCCAGGTCGTCTGCAAGACCACTAAGTACTCTTAACCACTCAGCCATCTCTCTAGCTACTGTGGATTTTTTTTAAAAAAGGTTATTATTTTTACTTATGTGTTTGTGTGTGTATGACACCTGTGTTCAGGCACCAAGAACAGGAATGAGAGAAGATGTCAGGTCCCCTGAAGCTGGAGTTTCAGGTTGTAAGTTGCCAAATGTGGATACTGAACTCAGGTCCACTGGGAGATCAGCAGGTGCTCCTGTCATTGAGCTAGCTCTCCAGCTCCAAGACACAGAGTCGGAGGTTTTGTTTGTTGTTGTTTTGTTTTGTTTGAAACGGGATCTCTCCAGCTCCTACTGCAGACTTTAATAGTATCTCACCAAACACATCCTGTGGGGAGTAAATAAATATATGCCTAAAAATGTGCTTGATAAATTCAAACCATTACTATTTATCTGATTTCTATAACCATTTACTACTTGCAAAATTTCTTGCATGCTGCATGGGTGTGTCTATGTACATCTGCATGTCTGCGTGCTCGCTTTTTATTTCATTCTTTTCTGCTTTTCGGCTCTGTTGGGGAGCTTTGTGGATCGAGGTATAGAATCTCGTTGTTATCCTCAGCTTGTCTAGAACTTTCAATCCTCCTGTCTCTACATCCTGAAGGCTGGAAGTGCCATGCACCCAGCTTCCTACAGCTCTGGCATGGATGTGTGTGGGTGGCTGGAAGACAGTTGAGTCCATGGTATGTGCTGGAAGTTCATGCTTGATAAAGCATGCTTTATTCTTAACCTGTATGGTATAGAAAAGGGAAATGCAACACAGAGAAAATAAATGGGATGACTAGAGTCCCACATGCGTGACCTGAAGTTTACCACTTTGACCATACTATAATGTGCAGTTAAGGGGCAATCAGTCCATTCCCACTGCTGCAGCCATCACCACGGTCCGTTTCAGAACGCTCATCAGCCGGGGCTGAGACCGGAACTCATTAAATGGTAACACCCCATTCCCCTCACACCTTGTCTCTATCAGCCATCCTCCTGCCTTCTGTCTCTATGTGTGACTCTCTTAGGAGTCATAAAACATCTGTGCTTTTGTGTCTGGTGTATTCATTTTGTATGTTATCACTGAGGATCATCATGTTGTAGTACATATCTGAATTTCTCCCTTAAAAGGAAGAATATCATTCCATTGTATATATGCCCAATATATTTTATTTATGTACCCACCCATTGATGGACAGGGTTTCTTTTCATTTTTTTTTTTGATTAGTAGAAATGACTCTAGCCTGAGTGAGTCCCCCTTAATTTCGTATGCTGAAATCTAGTTCCTCATATGATTGCATTAGGATGTAGGGACTTTGGGAGGTGATTAAGTCACGATGACCACCTATGGCCTTTACAAATGTGACCACAGAGAACCCCTTCCTCGTTCTGTTATGTACTGACAGTGAGGTGACACTGTCTGTAAGCCAAGAAGCCAGTTCCCACTCAACACACAACGCACTTACACTCTGGCCTACACAGCCTCTAGGACTCGGAGCAATAAGCCACTAGCCCACAGGATTGGTTACCACAGCCTGGGCCAAGACAGAGGTCCCAGCACTTTTAAGTGGAGATTTGTGACACCTGGTCTCCTGATGTTCCCAGTGTTATCACAGAGAGAACTGTTGCCTACAAGCTAATATTCTTCTCAGCCTCGGGGGGCTTTGCAGAGGATGATTACAACTTTAATGCTGAACTTCTGTGAACATGTGAGTTGAACAGCTAAGCTTTGTTGAACCATATTTTAGGTTCCTCATTTTTATTTTATGGCGTGTTGGGGGGGGGCTGTGTAGAGTTGGTTCTCCACCTCCACTGTGGACTCTGGGGCTCAGACTCAGGTGACGAAGCTTACATGGCAACCCTGAGGTTGAGGAGAATTTTAGGTTATAGGGAACCGTCGGTTCTTTCCATGATAATAGACCATTAGCTGATGCAATATTTTCAGAATAACTCTGAGAGGTGAAGTTTCATGTTGAAACAGGGTACACTGCTTCTCCGATAAGCTGGTCCAAAGGGCACATACTGCTAGGTTCCCTGACCTGTGCTGAGCCTTCGTTAGAAACTGGCATCATTTCAAAACCCAAAGGTGTATCTGATTTGTCAGGGGCAGAAGGCAAAGCTTGCCTCACCTCCTGCAGCCTGTAATACCTGACAGGACTCTCTGTGGAGCTCTGTGCAGAGGTGTCTGTTTTGAGAACAGAGCCGAAGGGAGAGGGTGGTGTGGAGCCATGCACATTGTCCTAGAACTTCTCCTGCTGGTAGGCATCATCATCTACTCCTACTTGGAGTCACTGGTAAAGTTTTTCATTCCCCGGAGAAGAAAATCTGTGGCGGGACAGACTGTTCTCATCACTGGGGCTGGACACGGAATAGGCAGACTGACTGCGTATGAATTTGCAAAGCGGAAAAGCAGATTGGTCCTGTGGGATATCAATAAGGTAATGCATGTTCCTGCCAACCCTTGAAGTCACCAAATAACAAGGCATGTATTTCTTTAGTTACTTGATTTAGCTTTTCTTGTTTGTTTTCCTCTTTCGAAGTTTTAATAAATCCCCCGGAGCCTTGCTAGATCCGTGCGACAGGTTGACCAGATGGAACTAATAAGCTGGAGGACTGTCGTGGGGGTTTTGTTTTGTTTTGTTTTGTTTTGTTTGTTCCTACCATGATGTACAACTTGATAACAAGAGCTGTAGGAGCTAGGAAGCTTCCAAGCTGCTGACATTAGGCGAGCCACATAACTTATCCCAACTTCATCTTTTTTTTTTTTTTAAATCTCTACAATTGGGATAAAACTAAAGAGGGTGAAACTGGAGGTCATGATGTCAGGTGAAGCAAGCCGGGCTCACAAAGGGAAGGCTCTGCTGGGCACGGTCCCTCTGCTGTGGTCCCAACAAGCCGGGCTCACAAAGGGAAGGCTCTGCCGGGCACGGTCCCTCTGCTGTGGTCCCAACAAGCCGGGCTCACAAAGGGAAGGCTCTGCTGGGCACAGTCCCTCTGCTGTGGTCCCAACAAGCCGGGCTCACAAAGGGAAGGCTCTGCCGGGCATGGTCTCTCTGCTGTGGTCCCAGCCCTGGAGGAGCCGAGCAAGAGGATTGCTGCCAGTGTGAAGCCAGCCTTGGCTGCAGATAGACAGGAGAGGGGTCTGGCAGGGACTAGGAGAGGACAGCGATCATGGGACTGTCAGAGTGTCTCGCGTGCGTGTGTCTGTGGAAATGCCATCGCGAAGCCTACCATTTTGTACACTAATAAAAGCAGAACACCGAGACGAGCGAGGCATGGGCAGAGAGGACTGATCCTACAGAAGGTGCTTCATGTGCAAAAGTGACAGCGAGTTATGTTCTGCCATGCTCCAAACCAACTGTAACACTGGCGGGGTTTGGTAAGCTCTTACCAGCAAATATCAGCCATACATAACAATGGGTTTCATCATACACATGTGTCTTTTGATCGTATTCACACCTCACCCCCATTATTATCTCCTGCCCCCTCCCACTCCTGCTGACCCCCCTTTTAGCTGCTCCCCTCTGCTTTCACATCTTTTGTATGTGTGTGAGCTAACGAGCTTAATTAGGATTGCTGCCACGAGCTCGCTGGGACGAGGGTTCATTACAGGAGCATGAACAGCTCGCCAGTGGCTGTGCTGCTGCAGAAGGTAACAGTGATAAATCGTTTCTTCTTCAAAGCACCTGCTTGAAGCTCTGGTCACTGCCACTCTCTACAGACCTCAGATCTAGAGGTCTGAGGTGTGAGGGGGCAGCTGAAGTAAGCAGGCTTCCAGCTGAAGCCAACGTCAGTGGAAAACTCTCCCACCCAGCCCGCTGCTGTGTGCTGCAGTCCCCAAGACTCTCCGCAGGAACAGTGGTTTTGTAGTGACTTCTCAATCCTGGTTAAAGTCTGTTCTTTGAGACTGCTCTGCGGTTGAGCCTAAGATAATGAAATGCGAAGGGGGCCCAAGGGAGGCAGCCAGCCTCAGCCAAACAAACCCACAAGATGGCGACACCACTTCTGTTCCAGTGTGCACAGGAGAGGGCTTCTTAGGCATCCTCACTCTTCATCACAGAGAAGTGGGCATGGCCCAGAGAGGGAAGAGTACAATTTTAAAAAAAAATTATTTTAAACCTCATAATATTCCCTGTAAAAATCAACAGATGTCAAAACTTGGAAAGAATTCATATTTTCTCGAAATAGAGGTAAAAAAAAAAATTAAGATGTCCAAGGGTGGTGACTCACACCTGTAATCGCAACACTCAGGAGGATGAGGCTGGAGACTGGCCAGAGTCGGAGACTTGCTTGGGGTACACATAGTAAGCAAGTGATAGACAGTGACGACTGGTCTAAAACAACAGAGAAAACACACACACACACACACACACACACACACCGTTAGGACAATCCAATCCATCTTAGGTAAGAGGCCTCTGAATTTAATCTGAAAATAAGCTGCCTTCATGTCCTGGACTCGTGCACAATTTCAAACACTGGCTCTTGGCCCTTTTCGCTCAAAGCTCCAGAAGAATAAACACCCCGTAGATTATCTGGTGTAGTAACAGTTCCTCCGTGGAAGCTCCTCTCAGACAAGAGTCTCTCCTCTCCTGGCACCAGGGGGATGAGTCCGAGTGGTCGAGGCCTGTCAGAATCACTGCCGGGCGGCGTGCTCAGCACCTTACTGCCCACGACGGCTGATGCTCCCCCAAGTGTGAGCTGAAGGGATGGAGCAGCCTTCCTCCTGCCCTCCATGCTCAGACATCTCCCCTGATCTTGTGAGGATGCCCTCCACGCTATGACGGTGTTCCTCTACATGAATCACCTACACGCAAGCCCCAGGCTAGGATGAAACGCTGCAAAAACCCTACATGGAAAGGCTTGCTTCTCTTCCTTCCTGGTGCTGGTCTGGCGGTAAAGTCGCTGTGATTAGTTCTTTCCCTTACGCTTAAGGAGATTTATGGGACAAGGATTTTAGAGTATTTCTCCTCCAGTGCTTATCTTTCCTTGAATTTGCCTCCCTCCCTTCCATTGCCCCCCTCCCCGCCCCCCCCCCCAGCACGGTGTTGAAGAAACTGCAGCCGAATGCCGGAAACTGGGGGCCATTGTGCATGTGTTTGTGGTGGACTGCAGCAACCGGATGGAGATTTACAACTCTGTGGATCAGGTGAGAACCAGGGTGCAGGTATCTGCATATAACCATATGTATCAGCTGACACGGGGCTGGGGAATGAAAAGGTTTTCTAGGGCTGCTGGTGAAGTTGCTGTGTGACCGAAGGAGAACATACATAGACTTCCTTGGTATTAAAATCTACTCAGCTCTGGCCTCTGTGGCTGTTTCATATCATCAATCAAATTTGCTTTCATCAGAAGTTTGAGCAACGACCCAGAGGAAATGACAGATTTTTCTTTCTTTCTTTCTTTCTTTCTTTCTTTCTTTCTTTCTTTCTTTCTTTCTTTCTTTCTTTCTTTCTTTCTTTCTCTCTCTCTCTCTCTCTCTCTCTCTCTCTCTCTCCTTCCTTCCTTCCTTCCTTCCTTCCTTCCTTTCTTTCTTTCTTTCTTTCTGTTTTGTTTGTTTATTTATGTGTTTGTTTATTTGGTTGGTTGGTTGATTTTTCAAGACAGGTGTTTTCTGCATAGCCCTGGCTGTCCTGGAACTCACTCTGTAGACCAGGCTGGCTTCGAACTCAAAGAGGTCTGTTTGCCTCTGCCTCCCAGTGCTGGGATTAAAGGTGTGTGCTACCACAGCCAGCTATGACAGAAAATTTTCCTTTCTAACATTTTTTTAAATTACATTTTGTTCTACTAGGTCTTTACTTATTTCCTCTCTGAGATTTTATTGGTTTGTGTATAATCTAGTCTTTTATGGAAAACATACAGTTAATGAAGTTAAACATTGTATTTATTTAGTGTGTGTGTACGTGTGTATGTGTATACGTGTACATGTGTGTGTGTGTGGGGGGTGCACACCCCACAATGTGCATGTGGAATTCAGATGACAACTTTTGAAAGTGCGTTCTCTCCTTCCACAATGTGGGTCCTGGGGTTGTCTGGTCTGGCAAATAAGAAAAAATCCCTTGACCCATTAAGCCCTCTCACCATCCCAGTATAACCATTTTTTAAGAAAAAGTAAACATCAGGTGCTTCATCGAACCAAATCCTCTGATAAGCTACCACCTTCTTTAACCTAATTTAACTTTAAAACCCCACCAGCCTCTCTATAGATAAGCAAACACACGCTTGAAAGGTTTGGCCCAGACAAAGATCACGTGGCCTCAGGTAGTAGAACCAAGATTAATTACTTAACACTTAAAAAAACATTTTTGTCAGAACTTAAGCATTAGTTTACCAGCACAAACATTAATGCTTGTTTGCTTAAAACCTTAAATTCATAAGCTTTCACGCTACCCGTGCTGTGCTGCGCACGAAGTTACAGGTTTTCACCCATTCAGCCTACCTAGTGACAGTTCTCCTTCCAGGTCACTGTTTGAGCCAGTTTCTTCCTGTCTGAACTCTGAGAGACCTCATGCAGTGGAATAAAAAAACAAACAAACAGAAAAAGAAAACCCTAATCCCTAGAGGGCACTCTGACCAAGCTGTCACCGAAGCCATCGGGCACAGACAGAAATTGCATCTCAAATCTGTTCTGTACTCAGAAAGCTGGCAACCTGAGGAGAGGGGCAGATTGATACCAGATATCGTCTTCCTTGTCACGCCCAGCCAGTGGATTATCCGGGCAGTGGGTGTGGACAAAGGCAGTCTCCCTGGAGCTCAGTCTCGCCTCTTGAGAGTTAGTTAGCCACGGTTTTGTGACTTGGGATGTCTGTATGCCTCTCTTTATCATCCCTTGCCCCATTCCCTCCTTTTGTGTGTTATTGGACTCAGGCATTTCTTGAAATGTTGAATCCACTTAGTTTCTGCTGGTATCAACCTTGTACTCCTTTGGGGGCTTCTGGGCTAGGGGTAGGAAGTGCAGTGGTTAGCTCAGAACACACAACCCATTAACAGTCTGCAATTGCCAAGCTATACATGATGCGTATGTTCTGATTACAAAGTGGAGTATGTGTCCTTATAATAGAGAACATAAAAATGCCTCTATCCATCTGATCGATCCCTGTCACTATCAATCCCACGACCGTGTGAAAGTAACCCACCCTGTGTGTGCATTTCCTCATAAGGTAAAGAAAGAAGTGGGTGATGTAGAAATCGTGGTAAACAATGCCGGGGCGATATATCCAGCTGACCTTCTTAGCACCAAGGATGAGGAGATCACCAAAACCTTTGAGGTCAACATCCTAGGACACTTTTGGGTGAGTGAGTCAGAAACATTTCTGGCTGGTGCGTGTCTGGCACCTTTTCAGTGTTGGAAACTCATTGAGTTCACAGTATTTTGGGGTGGGAAAATGCAAAGTTGTTTGGTTTGGTTTTTTTTTAAGTCAGGAATTGTGTAATGTGTTTGAGTAGACGAACCACAGAGTCTCTGGCATTTAGAGTTCACGTGGACACGGTACACCCAAATAAAAGCCATCTGGTTTGTTTTGTCCAACAGAATCCAACGTAGAGCCTGGCATGTTCTAGGTCAACAAAAAAATATTTGTGAAAGTTTGCTAAGAGTTGTCTCTGTACATCTTTCCAGTGTTTTAGAGGAAGTATATACCGTGTACATTCGTTTGTGGCCTCCTTTCAGAGAAATTTAGAGTTGAAAAGACATCGAAATAACTAAACAGATGTATGCAGGAGTTAGGGATACTTTGGGTTGAGGCTCTGAGATAAGTTGCATTTTGACATAACATTATCATCTATAAAGTTCATAGCTGAGAAGTTCACAACTGAGTTACCAAAAAGAAAAAAAAATCTCAAAATGTTTTAATAAGTTCACAATTTTGTATTCATAGCTAATCTCAGCCATATGCAGCCTATGGGCTATGGGCCAAACAAGCCTGTTAGGTCCAGGGAATGCTGGAGTGTAGAAAGATGAGTCAGGAGATTTCTTACTATTGGTTGTTTGTTAGAAAATGAAGTGTGAGTCTCAACCCTTTGGAGAGAGCATGGGGCCTTGATATTAGTGTAGCTCCTGGAGCAAATATGGATTCGAAGATCATCCTTCCTCAGCCCCTCATGCATGCTAATGTGATCTGGCCATCATGCCACTCACACTATACAGAGACCTCGTATATTAGTTATCTAATAATTAATAGCAAATCATAGCTATGTCACAAAATATGTCAAAAGATAGGGGTTTAGAGCAACCATGAATGTTCATTATTTCCTCACAGATCTGTAGGCAGGAGCTGGTTTGGGATTTGGTTTGGGCTCCAGGAATTTGCATAGAATTTGAAGGGTAGGTCTATAAAATTCTGATAAGATGTTATATTTCTCACTGTATAATGAGGCTTCTTTTGGAAACAAAAAAAAAATCTTTTGTTTCCCATAACATAGTTTATCATATATACTGTTACAAGAAAGAGATTTGGGTCTGCTGCCTGTGCCTGGTGGCTGTGGACCAGGACAGAACTCAGCTTGTGTTCTTCAGTCGCCTTTATAGAAGTAGATCCCCATCCTTCTAATTGAAACCAAGAACTTGTAGATACCATCTTACACTTGAGGTCTGACATCTGTGGATTTATCCCTTGACGATGTTGCTCAGAGCTCAGCAATACTGTGCTTGCTTAGGATGCACCAAGTCCTCTGGTTAATCCCTAGCACTATAAAAAAATGATGATAATGTTGCTTAGATGGCATGTCCTGGAAGGAGCTACTTGACGCCTTCTGAAGAGAAGAAGGGGGCATGTTGGCACAGGTCCTCGGCACGTGAGCTAAAGGACCCAGCTCCCGGTGCTGTCCCAAGCCAGCAGGTTTACCCTTCCTTTTGGTCATTTATGTGGAAGGGACCACAGAGTCTTGCAACTGTTTAATTTCTAATGCCTCTACCTTAGCAGAAATGAAATGGCCCGCCTGGGGATCTGCCTAATGCCCGGGTCATTGTTTCTTTTCTTTTTACATGGACCTGAAGATCATAAAAGCACTTCTTCCATCGATGCTAAGAAGAAACTCTGGCCACATTGTCACAGTGGCTTCGGTGTGTGGCCACGGAGTGATTCCTTATCTCATCCCATATTGGTAGGTATTAAGCAATAGCAGCAGTGCTCTGCATTTTTGGACTTCTAAGGGGTGGACTTCAGGCCCCCAGCTTGGGAATTTGGACATAGGGAATGTATATGGAAGGTTAGCATAACTTTTAAATGACTTCTAAAACCAGGAAATTGGCTCTAAATTTATTTTAAAATTTTTAGACTATTTTCATGGTATTCCGAAATGAGTGGATGTTGGGACAAGACACACAGCAGAGTAGGAAACAAAGCACACAGAAGCTAACAGGTGTAGCATGGCCTAGGTGCATGCCTGTGTGAGAGAAGGAATACAGAATGGCCCTGCCGCACCAGGAGACGCAGACGCGACACACCATGTCCTGGGGACACAGACACACTATCTGCAACACATCCCCTGTGAACTCTGCGAATGGCATCTGATTTCCCTGCTTCTGCCATGTAATAATCCCGGGAACAATTTTACCAAGATATTTGGATGCAGTGGGTGCATAGGTTTTATTTCTTTATATGCACACTCAAAGCTAAATTTAACTGCAGACTAAACAATTTCTCACACTGAACATGGTCACAGATGAGTTACATTTCAACATAGCTCAGTTTTCCATTATACACACACAGAGGAGACACACACACATACAGAGAGAGGGAGAGAGAGAGAGAGAGAGAGAGAGAGAGAGAGAGAGAGAGAGAGAGAGCGCCTTTAACACTGTTTTTGTTTTTTTGTCACCTGGATCAAAACAGCAGTTAACACTTATACAGATCCTTGTAAATCATAAGTTACTATTCCTATCCTATTTTATTGAATCCCCAAAACAGCCTTATATTTTATTATCAACATTTTATAATCAGAGAAACAATACAGAATCTGGTGTTAAAGATTGCACGTACAAATCCACCCACGCTCACACCATCTGGAGTCCTTTAACTCCAAATACTCAATGAAATTAAGAAGCCAAAAAGACCACCAATGTCAACAGAGAAGCCATCAACCCATTAATCAAGACAGGAGAGATGTATACCATCCCACAACAGTTTGTCAATATTGGTTTCATAGTGTTTTCTATGTCTTTTACTGACTCATACTTTTAAAGATAAAACAGTAATAAACTCAGATTAAGAAACCTTTGTAAGGTTGACGGGACCATAGAAAAGGCCACATGTAGAATGGAAAACATTAAGCCTGTTTGTAAAGTGGTTGTTTTACTCTCCTTGCTAGTTAGAAATTAGGAACAGGGCCCTGGGGTGTAGCAATGGTTGAATACATGCTTAGCATGTGCAGATCCCTGGGGTCAATCCCCAGGACCCCAAAAGAAAAAAAGGTACTGGGCATGTTCAGAATTCTGCTTAATCACATAAGAAAATAAAAACAAATGCTCATTTACCCTCTCAGAAAAACTGTAAGTAGCAGGCTCTGGGTCTTCTTGCCCTAAACAAACAAAGCTGTCTCCTCACCGGGGACTGAGACCGTCCTACAACCTTGCTGATGGCTGATTTTTCTCTCACAGCTCAAGCAAGTTTGCTGCGGTTGGCTTCCACAGAGCGCTGACTGCAGAACTTGAAACCTTGGGGAAAACTGGTATCAAAACTTCATGTCTGTGCCCTGTGTTCGTAAATACTGGCTTCACCAAAAACCCAAGCACAAGGTGAGGTGGGGTTAGTTATGCTGACCTTCAAGCTGGAGCCCTCCCAGACAGTGAATGACACCTTGAGTAGGTCATAGGTATTTAACAAGTACGTCACCACTGGATGGCGGTGGTGGCGCACGCCTTTAATCCCAGTACTTGGGAGGCAGAGCCAGGCAGATCTCTGAGTTAGAGGCCAGCCTGGTCTACAGCGTGAGATCCAGGACAGGCACCCAAACTACACAGAGAAACCCTGTCTTGAAAAAACCAAACCAAACCAAACCAAACAAAAACAAAAAAAACCCAAAAAACAAGCAAACAAAAAACAGTATGTCACCTTTATTTAAGTAAATCCTGTGGCACCATCTCAACCCCTAACAGCTGTCTTACATGGGAGAGTGGGTCTCCTAAAAATCCTGGCAAGTGCTCAGCTTCGAGTCTGCTGCACTTGGCCCGGAGTGCCCTGCCACTGTGGGGAAGGCACAATAGGGAAGGAAAGTGGAAACTCTCCGATTGGCGGGCGGCCGCCCTAGAGCAACCGTAGCTGCAGACACAGCAATGCCCAGGACTCGGGGACTTCTCACTCAGGCTCCTGAACCCTGAATTTCTTCCACTAGAACTGACATTAAGATACTCTATCAGGTGTGGCTCTAAGTCTGGATTGAAGACTCCATTGCGAAATTAGAAAGGGAAGAGACAGAGCCCCAGCAGTCTAAAAAGTACTGATTTCCATTGCCTCTGTGATGGTCTGCTAGTCCACACACACAGACATCTCACTCACGCTTGAGCCTTCAGAAATCTCACACTGTCTCAGGGAAGTAAAGTCTAACATTCACTCAGCCACACCTAGGCATGCCAACCTTGGTGTGACATTTCAAACCCATTTTTATGCTTTGGTTTTTCTCTCATTATCTTCATTAATGGGCAAGACCCTCCACTGGTTATGAGCATTTCTCAATGATACATGGGCACAACCTTTGGATCAAGGAATGCCATGACAGCAGACGTGACATATATAAAAAAGCTGTAACTTACACAAATCTTAAATTCCCATAAAACTGCAGGAGAAACAAGTCAGAAGCAAATCTTAACTACTGAATGCCTCAAAACAATACAGCTCTACGGAATACCCACATACAGCAGGGAGTGTGCTCAGCCATAGAATAGTCTCTTTACATCCAACAGGCCTGGAAACATCACGTGATTCATCCTAGGCACACCCTTTTGTCCCCAGCTCCTCTGTTCCTTCCCACCTTGTACTTTGTCATGATTCAGTTATTTTGACCTGGTGAGCCAACACACATACATACTGGACTTGAAAGTATAAGAATGTGATAGCAAGACATCAGCGTGGGATGTAGAAAGTGGTGGGGGGGAACATTCATAAGGGGAATCCTGAGACATTTTAAAGCTTAATTCTAAATTTGGTGAAGAGATAGGTTAATATCCTTTGTTCATTAATTAAAAACAATAAAAATGGAGGGACTGGGGTTTTATCCCAGTGGTAGAGTGCATGCTTAGTGTGTGTGAAGTGCTGGGTCCAATCCCAGCACGCAGATGCAGAAATACAGTATAAACAGAGATGAACTCTTTCCCCCTCTTCCCATCAGGTTGTGGCCTGTATTAGAGACTAGTGAAGTTGCAAGAAGCCTGATAGATGGAATACTTACCAACAAGAAAATGATCTTCGTCCCATCCTATATCAATATTTCTCTAGTACTGGAAAAGTAAGTACAGTATAGAACCCTGAAATACTAGCACACAAACAGAGATGTTATTACAGAGAGATTTTCAGATGTGACTGTTGCTATGGAAACTCTCCATGCCTGGAGTGAAAATTAAGTCTCCCTTGTTACTGCCTTACTCATTCCAGAGGAGGAAAATGAGCCCTTGAGTCCCCGATTCCCTTTGTAAAATACATCCTGTCTCTGCCCAAATTTTGCTCAAAACTATGCAAATTGAAGAAAAGACAGTTTAAAGCATACAGGTTATGGAGACATCATAAGGGCTCTGTGTGTGTATTCATGTGTATGTGTGTGATGTCTGTGTGGGTGCAGGTGGACGCAGGATTTCCTCCCTTCCTTCCTTCCTTCCTTCCTTCCTTCCTTCCTTCCTTCCTTCCTTCCTTCCTTCCTTCCTTCCTCTCTTTCTCTCTCTCTCTCTCTCTCTCTCTCTCTCTCTCTCTCTCTCTTTCTTTCTTTCTTTCTTCTTTCTTTTGAGACAGGGTCTTTCATTGAGATCTGTACTCACCAATTAGGCTAGGATAGATGTCCACCAGCAGGGATGTGCCAGGCCCCGTATCCCCCAACACTGGGGTTACATGCACACCACCATGCCCAGCTTTTTATGTGGCTTCTGGGGATTAAACTCAGGTCCCCACATTTGTGTGGCCATCCCCCCAAACACTTGGGTGCTCAGTGTTTGCAGTTCTTTGTGACAGTGTGCATCTTAAATGTCTCACAATCCACTTCCACGTGATTTTACATCACTTCATTTGGAATCCAAGAACCTTAGCATGGAGTCATTTCTTTCCTTTCCAGGCTCACGAGCCCCAAAGACAGCAAAATCCCATGGAACAAATTTCCTCTACACAGCTCAAAACAGGTCTCATTAGAGTGGGAAAATCCCCAAACCGGACCAGGCCTGTGTATGACCATGATGTAAATATGATTGATTGTTCTGCCTGGGATGAGAGCGGTGACCCTGAACAAGGAGGCGCCTCAAAGCCTTTGCCTCTTTGTAGAGCACTCAGTGTGATTTGTTGCTCTGGCAACGAAGCTTTTTGTTGCTCTTTGCATTTAACTCCTTTTAGAGAGAGACAGTTTTGCGCTCAGAGGCAATCACTAGTCTTTGGGGGAGTTGTTCAAAGATCTGCAGAAGCTTTCTTCTGACCCTTGTTGTCCTCACAGCCGGGTCATCCTCACCCCTTCATACCCTCCCCCCTACCGCCATCACATCTTCCCACCCTCTGCCCAGGGGCTGACAGGGAAGTAAATCTTGCATTAGCAATACCAGTGTAATTTGAAATATGACTTTCTGTATAGAGCATGCTCTTTCTGCCTCCTTCCTTCGGTACACTCATGCTCTTCCTTCACCCGTCAGCTCAGGTTGACTAACCCTCTGGCGAGCTTCAATATCCAGCCCATGTAAATCCTCCACATTTTATTGTAGACAGCGGGTGGTTTCTGGCCAGCTGTGGCAGCCGCTTGGCTTGGCACAGCAATATGCTCGGAGGCAACAGCCTGTTCAAAGGCTCCTTAGTTTTCCCTTTCATAAAGTGATGGGTATCCTGAACATAAGAAGGGGAGGAAGGGTGTGTGCCATGGATTCTGAGTTCTTGGCACCAGAATTCACCGACTCAGCAGTGAGTTCATAGCTTCAGTTTTTAGATCATTGTTGGTATAAGATCTCATACAATTTTACTATTATGAAAGAGTGGTGATCTAGTATAGGTCAGTGTAGGTGGGGGAGATGGGGGAGAAACTAAGAGAAGGGAGGAAAACTAAATTCGGGTCAGGTAAGCTTCAGAGCATTTTTAAATTGATGGGGGCGGGGGGCGGGGGAGAGAATGCTAGTATCAAAACTTTACATTGAAAAGTTTCTTATCTTTTTTTCTTAATGTAGGTTTCTTCCTGAACGTGCCTTAAAAGCTATAAGTCGTATACAGAATATTCAATTTGAAGCAATTGTGGGCCACAAAACCAAAATGAAGTAACATCTGCAGAGATGTGCATACACCAATGACATGATGTCGACGTGTTGAAGCTTTCTTTCACATGTTTAAAGTGCTACTGGTGTTTAAAATGTAGTTTTGGCACTAGCAGCCACCTAATGAACAAGACTGATTAGCTGACCAAGGTCTTCTGTGCTTGTAGAGATCTCAGCCTGTAGTATTTGGTGATGGCAATGGGAATATAGCAAGATAATATCTATTAAACAAAGAAGTAGAAAGATAATCAGTGTGGTTTTTATAAAATAAATTATTGCTAGATATCGAAATGTAGACCAAGGGGTAAGATAATCTTGGGCAAATGCTGACAAGCTGTAGTCCTTTCCACATTGGGAGGGGTTGGTAGTGTTCTCAGTCTGCTCTTTGTGGACAGGATGAAAACTTTGTTTCCTTGCCATACGAATTAGAAAGGAGGATTTTTCTTAGTGTACGGTTTTTCTTACACCATGTGAGTGAATAATGAAGCAATTTTATTTGCCTAACTTGGTGAAGCAAATATTTGTACAAACTTGCAACTGTGAAACCTCAACACCTTGTTCTTTACTTTAGAAAGACCTTGAACACATTTGTTTTTCTTTTTACTCTATTAGGCAATCACTAAAAATATTCAACTGTACACATATTAACAGCAACACAATCTCCCCCAAATAAATCCCGTTATGAAGTGCAAAATCTTCCTGGTTTTTTGTCTGTTGGCTGTTTGGTTTGGCTTTGGTATTTTGCTGTAGGGGACTGAACCTACAGACTTGCACAGGTTAAGCCCTCTGCTCTGACCTCCTATCCATGAACTTCCAGCATTATTTCCACTTTTTGTTTTAATCCTTTTTAACTGAAGCTCGGCAGAATGCCTGGGAACGTGGTGATGACCTCTCTGGCCCACTTCTCCTGCACATTTTGAGTGTAGACATCTTCCTTACAAGTACCAAATATTTGTCTACGACAACCTTCACGTTCATAATTCTCACTCCTGCCAACATTGCAGCCCCTTAGGCTACCGCCAGGGTGCACAGATCCCCAAGGAAGACTCCATCCATGTGAACCATTTACTTAGAGATATGTCATAGAATTCTTAGGTTCCTGTGCACACAGTATCATGATTTATTGATGAGTATTTAAACAGAATCCTCCTATCTTAGCCCTCAGATGTAGAATTGTGTGTGCCACAGCACTCAGCTGAAAATAAATAATTATAAGTATTTTTGTAAATATTTAAAGTTGTTTGGGGGAATATTCATACTCATGGATTTTCTTTCTCTGTAAGAAAACATTACTACATGTTGATTGATTCCCCAAAAGGCTGAAATCTAAAAGATAAGACTCCCAATGACAAGTGTGTGCTTAATTTTGTTTTTCACTTGGCTTGGCTGGCTTGGCAGGAAGAGAAGGGGTGTAGAGAGAGGTCACGGGGATCACCTCTGGTGCCTTTGTTTCTCTGATGCCATCTAAGGGTCTGAGAGAGACCTCAGGTCCAACAGAAATCCACGTCCCAGCACTGCTTGGGGTTGACATCAACCTCTGTCGAAGGCTTGACATATACACTTTTGCTGGAAAGAAAATGCAACCTAAACCCAGTCTGGTTCACCTTTGGAATGTGAACTTGGACAGTCAACTTGTAATACCCAAAACCCAAAGACATCTATTCCTTTTCCCCAAGTTCATGAACTCTGCCTCCTAAACACAAATTTTGTCTGTTCCGAAACAATCTGCTCTGAAGGTGCGGGCTTAGACTAGGTGGATGAAGCAACCCACGACTGCTCCGGCTCAGAGGCAAGGTAAACTGTACTGAGGGTGGGCGATGTCAGAAACACAGATGACACATTTGTCTTTCCATGAGATTAGAATTATAAATTCGCAAACCACCTTCCATGGCAGCAATTTGCCAAGAAGTCTCCATTTCCCCTGAGAGCCAGCCAAGCCAAACAGAAGTTCTTTTATTCTGATCTTAACTACAAATAACTCTCAGATCACACGCTGCACATCACCATGAGAATGTGTATGTGTGTGTATGGAGAGAAGGGGGGGTTGTAGTATGCAGGTTACCCAATGGCTAAGGAGAGGCGGAGGAGGAAGCTGGGAGGGTTGCCAAGGGGCTCTCTGGGGAGGAGAGCAGAGCTGCTAAAGGTATTGCCACTGAGCCCAGTGCACCATCAGAGCGGTTCTGAGCCTCGGGGTTGAGCTGAGCTGCAGAAACAAGTTGGAGAACAGTGGAGACTGGAGAGGAAAAGCCCTGAACCAGGCTCAGACAGACAAGTGAGCAGATGTATGGAGCAGGTCCAGATGAAAAAATGAGAGATGGACAGACTGATGGCGGTCAGTCGCCCATGTCTACAATGGGCACAAGCTGAGCTGAAGCTCCCGGGAGAGTTGGGAGTTCTCTGCCTGTCGGTCCCTCGACATGCACACAGGGCGGTCAGCTGACAGGCTAGTGGAACCACTGCCGTCTTGACGTTAGAGGTTCTCCTGGTTATGATGTCTAGGTGCAGATGTTGCACCCCTTCTTTGGGCTGTTGAGTTTCATAAGTTCTTAGGTCTGGTTTTCCTGATAGACAAGTCCAATAAAATAAAAGGGTAAAGCATATTGTTTCTAAAAAGCGGTAGGCTCAGTCTTCCTCCTGCCAGAGCAGTTCAAGTCCACAGCTGTGGCCAGGCCCCCGGGGGAATTTCTCACCATATTCTTTAATTCGTTTATTTTGTTTTGTTCATTTTTTTTTTAATTTACAGGGTCCCTCTATGTAGCTTTATTTGGCCTGGGACCCATTATATAACTGGGGCTGGCCTCAGATTTATAGTAATCCTTCTGCCTCTGCCTCTGAGAGACAGGAAATGGGTAAAGAAAACAGTTTATTACAATTTGACTAAACTCGGGAAAGAAACATTTTTAATTTTCTCTCCCTACTCTGTGGGAGTCTTACAATGTATAGCCAAGATGAAACAATGGTCGAGAGAGACACAGACTGGCTGTGAGGCGGACGCCTATTCTTTCCTGAGGAGGGAGGTTCTTTCACGGCTAATATCCCCGGCTGCCTCCATTTTCGTTGTGGGAGGCCCAACACTATTAAAACCCTACAGGAAAATGCCCAGAGTTCCCTGGCAGGAACCTAGCTACCTGTCTCACACAGATGCCAGCAACCACGCCCAGGTGCCCACCAAGCTGTTCGTCTGCGATATTTCCTAAAAACGACCATTTTATTGCGAAAGCCAAACTGAATTTGGAAGTTGGAAACACGGAAGACGGAGGAGGAAAGTGGCTGAGGGTCACTTTATCATTACAGTGAACGTCGACCAATTCAACGAACTTCCTCAGTTTTTCTAAAAGTTGGATGTGTGTAGATTCTCATGGTTTCTGCTCAGTGTTTTCTTCCTGTGTCTGATGTGACTCCCGGAAGTGCTTCCTGTACTTGATACACTGAAGACAATGGCAAGAGAGCCTGGACCTTTCCACACAGGCATTTCCTACTTTGTGGCAGCATTTGGCCATGAGTCACATGCTGGGTAGAGTTCATTGGAGGACTATGCTAATTCTGTGTTGGATCTTGTTTACAAGCACTTCTTAACATCTGCTGGCTTCCCTTCAAACTCCGGAAACTGTCGGGGTTGGCAGGAGCTGGCTGGCTGCTTGATTGACAGATGTCATGCTTTCCCGGGGAACCCAAACAGAGCAGAAACTTTACAGAGCAGATCGACAGCCATTGCTGTGGCCCCCAAACATGGCTGGACTGTGAGTGACATTGCCACAGCTCCTAAACTCTCATCAGAAGTTGTAGCAACTGTGACTTCAAACTCACCAACTCCATGGAAGCTTAAAGAGCTGTCTATCAGGAGGCCCCAGACATCCCGTCGTGGCTCTGACCACAACAGCTTCAGGTGACTCCCAAACCTGCAACTGCTCCAGGTGTCCCTATCCAACTTGCAGATATTCCCACCTAGGACAATCACAATAGACAGGTCCAGTGACCTGTGCAGTCTGGCATGCCTAAACGAAAAGTTTGTTGTTAGCAGACAGGACACTGCACACACGTGTGACTGGATACATAAGCTGGACACGCAGGCCGTGTTCACTGTTATTTCGTGCACACACTGCAGTACCACCTTTTGGGTGGTTTTATTGCCTACCTATAATCTTTTGGGGTAGGGTAGGCTTAGCTGGTTGTACCAAGAGCAGATAACGTCAGGGCCACTAGCCTGAAACACACCTCGAAGCTGTGGTTGCTAAGGGTTCCTCAAAGTGACAAGGAGCAGGAAGTGCAGAATAGGGAGAGCTGTAGAGAGCTGAGGAAAGGAGAAAGCCAAGGGGAGAGAGGAGGGTCGAGGGGCAGGGGAGGGGGTGGAGGGGATGGAGGGGGTGGAGGTGTGTGTGTGGGGGGGGGGTGGCAAATAGCTGCAGGGAGCCGAAACCACAAAGGCAAAGGGGAGAGCGTGACCAGAGAGCCAAATGACTCTGAAGGAGCTGCAGTCCCTGTATCTGGAAGAGTTCCACAGAGCTGCTGAGGAGCCCCACACCACAGAGGGGGCTGGGCTGCGGGAATTCAGAACACAGGGCAACACTAACAGCTCAAGGCCTCGGGCACTTATGGCTCACTGCTAACAGCAAGGGAGCCACGCTCAGCCTGTCTAATAGATTTCTGTCTAATGAGTGAGAACCTTAGCAGACAACAGTCCCCAACCTTCCTTTGAGTATGTAACAATGTCTTTCATCTCATATTAGAAATTAGGGATAGCTGTCAACTTCACAATGGTTGCTATGCATCAAGCAAGCGTGGGTCTTTAAAGACGAAACTCTAAGCTGTACAGCCAGGTTTGAAAGAAAACACAATCCAGTAAACAACCCAAGGCAAATAGTTGGCCTGAAATAAATTCAATAAAAAGCTTCTTTAGAAGGTGCCAGATATCCAGCTTTGATAAACCAGTGGCTTTGCACCACATTGAGTTCCTCCTAGGAGTAATCCTACTGTCTACACAAAAGGTGCTGTTGCTGTTCCCTTGACCTGTAACTGTGTAAAGAGAAGAAAAGAAAGTGTTATAAATATTGACTGGCAAGACTGGGTGGGCACGGTGCCGAGCAAAACCTTCTGCCCACTCAGAGATCCGATGACTTGGGTGTGAAGAATGCCACCGTCTGGGTTCACACTGAGAAACATTCTTATCTTGATGGAATCAGAGTAGCAGGTGGGCTCCTTTAGAGTAAGTTCTGGAATAACTCTTACTCCTTACTCTTCACAAGGGGGAGACTAGGAAGAGGTTTTTCAATATATATATATTTGCTTTCTTGATTTTTATTTTTAGAGGACATAGTTTCCTAGAAGCAGAAAGAAGCAGGAAGGAGAAAGAGGGAGATGAATAGAATTGTTTGGGGTGGGTTGGTACCTGACACATTGCACTCATGACACTCATTGAATGGAAGCCTGATGTATTGTGAAGATAACCCAAGATGTCCAATTCCCAATAGTTAATTAACGTAGCAAAGGTTTGCCTCCTACACAAAAGAGCAATGCAAGTGCATCAACCATCAGCCCCCACAGCCACTTCAGGGTGTAGGTATATTCTTTCTTGTTATTCAGGTGTTTACTAGGGCCTGTGAACCGTGTGAAAGAGGGTGGAGAAACTTCACCGGTTTCTTAGGAAACAACAGCCCCACAGAAAGGTCCATCCATGGGTAAATGGCCTAATAATACACTACACTATTACGAAGCCTTAAAAATGAAAGAAATTTAAACCCACTGCAACCAATGAGCCTTGCAGGCTTTACTCTAAGTGAAAGAAATCAGACACAAAAGACAAATCCTGCAAGTACTGAGGGATTTATCAGGCATATCTGAAACAGTCAAGTTTATGGAGACAGATGGGGGATAGTTCCCAGCACCCCGGGAAACATGGAGTGGAGGTACTACTTAATGTCAACAAGGTTCAGCCTGGAATGATGACTAAGTTCTGGGGACAAGGTAGTGGTGGCCTCGACACAGCAACGTAATCATGCTTACTGCCCCCTGACCTGTACATTTACAAATAGTTAAAAGAGTAAATATTATATTTTGTGTGTGTTTACCACAAAATTTAAAGACCTAAAAAGAAGGCAGCATTAGTCAGAAAGTCTTGGACTTCAGGGTTCCTGTCTACACAGTGGCTCCCTCCCAGGAGTAATTTCACAATGGGGAAGAGAGAGTGTTAGTGAAATCTAACCAACCAACTGGGAAAGTTACCATGACTAAAGTTAGACAAATCACTGAGTGGGGACACTCATAAGCCTGTTCAAGTAAAACATCTCACGAGTCAATACTTGCTCTCACTGTTGACAATATCTCCTTACTACTTTGACTACATTATCTTTAGAGATAACATTTACGACACATATTATTTAACTATATTTAATCCTATTTTATAACGCATTAGTGATTAAGTCCAAGTCACCGGTAATGCACTAGTGTTGCATTAAGGAAAGAAAGCAAAGCACTTCCCCTTGGAGTCATTTAGCCAAGAACAAACATGAATTCCCTACTTGGCGCTCCCTGCACCTTCTGTCTTCATGTCTGTTGCATGACTCTGACTCTGGGCCTACCCGAAGGCTGTCTTGTGAATCTGTTTGTCCCTGTATCTGTTGTACGAGCGTCTGTGTGGTTGTGTGTGTCTGTCCCTAACAAAGGGTTTGCTCGGTATTTATTGAACAGCACAGAAAGTATCACATGGGGAAGGAATGGGAGACTTTACAGAAATCTTTGACAGTTTTACAAGGGATTAAGTCACTGGCTCCGACTAGTCCCGACTAGCCCAGAAAACAAATGTCATTGTGTATCAACCAATATCTATACATGGTTGATTTCAATAGCAAACATCATTGTTTATCAATCAATAACCATGAATCGTTGCTTTCACCTTCGTGATAGGTTTTAGGAAGTTGCTTTCCACATCTGTATTTGCTGCTTGCAGTAAGTGATAGACACGCAATCTGGGTTCAGGGCAGCGAAGAGTACACAATTTAAGAGTGTGGCTATGCATTAGCTTAGGTTGTAAAAGTTGGTTACATGAGAAATCCAAGGAAAGTAAGATTAGTTTGTTGCACTGTTCCCTTAAAGGAAGGTTAAACAGCCTGAGTACACAGTAGGACAGCAGCCTTAAGTCATGAGGGACCTCAAGGTGTATTATTAACTCTGGCTGTGAGGTCTAGCAAAAGTTCCAGCCTCTTAGGATGTGGGGGAATATTTTCAGAATAGCATTTCCTAACTTCTAAAGACTTTCTTTGATATCTGTCTGGAAGCATACATGACCCTGTAGCTCTTGTATTTTTCAAGCAAACAAAACCAGCATCATGTGAACAATCCCAAGGTATGCAGCCAGCTCAAACAATACCTGGACTTTCTTGGACTATGGCTAGAGAGACCTCTGTGTGCCTGGATGGCTAAAGAAATACTTACTTGCATGGCATCTCAGAGCCCTCTTCTCAGAACAGTCTTTCCAATGAGTTTATTCCTTTGCAACCATAATCTGTGAAAGATGGGACCCAGCTGATCCCTAAAATGCCTTCAAGGGATTGTTCTCACTGTGTTAGTGAAAAATAATGACTTCTTTTTAGTGGGAAAAGGCTTTTCTGCCATCACACCTCCCTTGGTCCCAATTTTGCATGATTTTCTTTTCTGGCCAAACTGCAAGTTTTTAAAACCTTTCTACTCTCATTTTGTTCCCAGCTCCTACTGTGAACCTGGCAAAACGCAGCTAGCAATAACAAGGCCACAGTGTGGATGCTGGGCTGCCTCGGAACTTCCTCTGACAGATTAGTTTGTTATCTTTAAACCCAACCTTTCCCCAAAGTCTTGTCCGTGGATAGACTCTAGACAAGTTCTTTGCAATGATGTAAGATGCAGGGTCTCAAGTCCATTCTCAGCAGGCCCTTGATCCATCTGAAACCACAGGAACTCAATATTTTCTCCCCACACTCCAATTGGCATCTGGTCTTTGGAATTCCCAGTGGAATTGCCCCTTAACTGTTTATAGCATCCCACAACTGCCTCTGCCCTGCATCTGCAAACTCTTCTAAATCTTCCTACAAACCAGCTCTGAAAGCTTCTGAACCACATTATCAGATAATCAAAAAAATCTCCTCGTTTCTGGGTACTAGTTTTCTGTGTTAGACTTTTCATCTCTGTGTCAAAATACTTGCCACAAACACTTAGGAGGGGAATGATGTCTCTAGATTCGCAGTTTTAGAGGTTTGCATCCACAATGGCGGGGAGAGCAGCTCACATCATAGTGGCCTGAAAACAGAGAAAGACAACAGATGCCTAGTTGGGTGGCTCTCTTCTTTTATCCCAACCAAGGCCCCAGCCCATGAGTGGTAGCACGCATATTCAGAACAGGTCCTTTCCTTAACTAACCCTCTCTGGAAGTACCCCACATATACTTTTAGAGGTTTGCTTTGTCAATCTTCCAGGTGCCTCTCAATCCAATCAAGTTACTCCTGGCAAAGGCAGCCTAGAAACTGGTGTTTTCTATAACACGAATTAATTGAGAGCCAGGGAAACCCAATTCCCTTACTCAAGTAGAAAGGGAATGTTCTCAATTTTCTCTGGAGCTTTTGTCAGGACGTGCCTGGAAGGTAGTTTTCAGCAAGACGAGAGAGTAAACTAAGGCTGCATTGATCTCAAAACCTGTGGGAGCCCACAGAGATCTGAGCTTGCTTTACCAGCAGGGCTGCATGAGAGGATGACTGGACCACGGGCCTGCGTACCAGGTGTTTGGAAGGGTCTACACTTGGCTGTATCTAGCAAGGGGGAGGTCTTTGCCTCGCCCCTTGGCATTGTTATAAAAAGGCCTTTTGAATAAAGTTCTGGGCTAGTAGATAAGGATCCAGGCCCTCCTGAGGCTATCCTGTGTTTCTATCTGTTTTTCTCCTCTCTATCCTTCTATCTAAATCTCTTATCCCTCACTCCTCAAGAGTACCCAGGTAAAGGTGGGGGCTGGTTCCCCACAAAAGCCCAAAGAGAAGCAGATATGGCAGAGGGTTGTGGCTACGGAGGCCTAAAGAATGACAATTCCAAACTGGAGTAGAAGGGACAGGGCTTCCAGGGCATCTGTCTGTATGCAGGACAAGAACTCACCCAGTGGTAAGCTGGAACCTTCATGTGCAGATAAGGACCATCAGAGAAACGAAGTAATCAGCAAAAACCATAATTATGATTCAAACTGAATTATGGAAGGAAGAGATGTGGACTATAATGTCATTAAAATTGTCATTTGTCTTATGAGAAGTGCTGGCATCCTGAGAATGCCCCCACCTTCAGACCCCAAATCACAGGGAACATGGTTGACCAACAGGACCAGTCACTGTGTCCTGCCCACCTTCCCGTGGGATCCACGATTCCTGTGGCTGCTCAGCCAATGACTAAGAGTGAAAAAATGCTGAAGCATGCAGCTCCCTTCCTCAGGAGGCAGGAGAGTTTCACACACTTCCCACTGATCTTGCTGAACTTTCCTAAGAACTACATGGTTGTCACAGGTAATTTTTCCTGACTTCCTTTCTCCAGCCCTTGGTAAGGCCTGCACAGCTGTCTGAAACCCTCAAGAACTTTGTCGGTTGTCATCACGTCTTCTTATAGGCATTTCCCTTAATATTTCTCACTTTTATATCTGTCTTTTAGAGTATCTCAGTGTGCTGGCCAGTCTTATGTCAGCTTGACACAAGCTCGAGTTATCTGAAGGGAGGGAAACTCAACTGAGAAAATGCCTTCATGAGATCCAGCTGTAAGGCATTTTCTAATTAGTGATCAATGGGGGCGGGCCCAGCCCACTATGGGTGGTGCCATCCCTGGGCTGGTGGTCCTGGATTCTCTAAGAAAGCAGGCTGAGCAAGCCATGGGGAGCAAGCCAGTAAGCAGCACCCCTCCATGGCCGCTGCATCAGCTCCTGCCTCCAGGTTCCTGCTCTGTGTGAGTTCCTGTCCTGACTTCCTTTGATGAACAGTGCTGTGGAACTGTAAGCTAAATAAACCCTTTCCTCCCCAACTTGCTTTTCAGTCACGGTATTCATCCCAGCAATAGAAATCCTAACAAAGACACTGAACGGATACAGAAATCAATGATATCCGAAACTGATGAGTCAAAGAGTTGTGCTCTCTCCCACCTCTCCCAAGTACCAGCCGACAAGAAGAGAGCTGAACGAGGCAGAGGGGCCCCACTCCTCTGGTCGTCCTTAGCACCACCTCACTTCTAAGACACTGAGTGTAGGTAACTTGCCGAAGTAAATTGTTTAAATGGAAAATCGCCACCTTAGACAGTGGCTGCTTTAAATAATCTGAGCAAAACGGCTGTTGCCTACGTACAATCATCTATGCCTCGAGCAGACCTTCAGTGACTACAAAGCCTTTCTCTTTGCAGCAACAAGCTGACTCATAGACCTCCTTGCAGACAGTGCCCCCCAGAGGGGGCAAAAGAATCTGTCGCCTAAGCATTATCAGCAATGTTTTTGGCTGGGTCTGCGTCCGTACGTGTAGATGAGTGTTTGTAGTGATGTTGTTTGTTCCCCTCTCTTCTCATCGCAAGTACACAAAGCCCTTGCCTTGCTTTGGAGATTGTTGCAAATCTTTTCAGATGATCTGAATCCTATGAAGGGTCACTGGAGTTGTTTAAGAGAACCTAGGGTATTTGCAGCAAATGTGTTGTGTGCTGCAACAGTTTTCTGAGGTGTGTTTGATCATCTAACGGAGATCATCCCATTCTGTCTGCATGTGACGGTGGAGGAGTATTTTCCCATGGTGTGTATAAACCGTTATAAAGATGACATCCAATCCTAAGTTCTTTCAACTGAGAAATTCTTGGTAAATTGACAGACTAACATGTACACATACCACGGTTCTCTCAGAACTCCTCAAAAGTGACAGCTCCTTAGAAGTTATGTCCTGGGATAAAAATTGAACAGACTAGAGAAAGTAGATGTTTGCACAGGATGCAACTTAGCTGCATAAACAGTTACCCAATACCAAAAGGTCAGTCCTAAAATCAGTTACGTATAAGCAACACTGAATGGACTCGGCAGGTTGTGTGTGTGTGCAAGCGTGTGTGGTGTGTAATAATAACAATTAAAGAAAAAGAGGCCATGGATTTGAGGGAGATCAGATATGGGAGGGGTTGGAGGGAGGGAAATTATATACTTGTATTTTAATTGTCCCTTTTTCCTGTGAGCTCCTGGGGTTCAAACTCAGGGCATCAAGCTTGAGCTGTATGCAGCTTTATCTAATGAGCATTATGTTCTGTCTCATTTGGGGATTTTAGTTGGTTGGTTTGGCTTCTTTGCTCTTTTGTCTTTGGATTTTTTGGTTTGGTTTTATTTGAAGACAAGGTCTTTCTATGTAGACCAGGCTAGCCTCAACCTTGCAGTCCTCCTATCTTCTTGGTGCTGGGATTAGAGGTTCCCTTCCCTTACGTACTTATGTGGATCCCAGTGGTTCTAACCAGCTAACCTGGCTTCATGAAGGAGAAGGGGATATGATTGCCCATTGAGTTTTATCTTAGCCACCTCACATGGAACCAGAAGAGGCCAGTATGTTTTAAAAATTTAGATCTATATTTATTTTGGAAGAACTTATTTGGTAATGATCTTTTTACGTGAACTTTACCTCCTTATTAAGAGTGTATCATAACATTTAAATTTTTTATTTATCTTATGTGCATATGTGTTTGGTCTGCATATATGTCTGTGTACCATGTGCATGTCTTGTTCCCACAGAGGCCAGAAGAGGCCACCAGATCCCCTGGGACTAGAGTTACAGACAGTAAGCTGCCATATAAGTGCTGAGAATTGAATCTAGGTTCACTGGAGGAGCAGACAGTGCTCTTACCACTGAGCCATCTCTCCAGCCATATCAAAACACGTTTTTAAAGAGCTTACTTTTTATCTTTAATTATGTGTATATGTGTGTGGGCAGGGGGTGGGATATGTGCCTGAGTGCAGGTACATTTGGAGCCGAAAAGAGGGTGTTGGGTCTCCCAGAGCTGGAGTTACAGGCAATTGTGAACCATGTGACCTGAGTGCTGAGAACCAGCACTTGAGTCCTCTGCCAGAACAACACATGCCCTTTCCCAATAAGCTATCTTGCTGGTCCCTTTGCTTAAAAAAAAAAAAAAAAAAAAAAAGATAGGAACCTGTTTTCCAGCGGGTGGTTTGGTTGTACCGTGAAGCATTTATTTACTCATTCCTCTCCTTTTTCCTCAGCATACTGCCAGGGCCTGTGCTTAGGATTATTTTTTAATACTAAGAAATAGCTATTTTAAAGTGCTGGATCATGTCTTTACTTTTGTAGGTGTTGCCCACATGATTTTCTTCAAGGCCATGGTCTTGCTGCCCTAGGAATAGAAAGCAGTGAGATTTATACTGGGTGCTGGGGTATAGCTCAGTGGTAGAATGGGTGTCTAGCATTTGGGAAGTCCCCATGTTCCATCTCTAGCACGGTAAGGAAAAAGAGAGAGAAAAAGACAGAGAGACAGAGAGAGATGGAGACACACACACCGAGAGAGAGAGAGAGACAGAGACACAGAGAGACACACACAGAGACAGAGGGAATATGAATTTGGGAAGGAAGCATTAGGTTAGAATAGGCTGGGTTTCATGAACCGAGATATTACTGATCAGATGAGAGACCAAAGGGGCCATCTTTGTCCTCGGCAGAGTTGAGAAGTCTCGAAGTTAATTCAGGGAGTGGGAGAAAACCTTGCTGGCTGCACCGGTAGGTAGGATGTTTCTCAGCTCCTCCCCTGCAGTCTCACAGTCTCCACCTCAGACACAAGCTCATGTTGCTCACACTCCCTGTGACCAATGCTCACCTTCATCCTGAGTGCCAGGGTGTTTGTCTGTGCCATAAGACAACAGTCACAGCCCACCACAGGCCAGCAGTAAACACAAACAAAGTAGGTGTTGCCCTCATCTCCACAGCCACCATCTGTCTCCATACATCAGTCTCTAAATATACGGCGTTATTGAGGGTTCCAGCTAATGCCGGGGTTCAAGTGCTTAGCGAGTGGAAAAATTAAACAAAAACAAAAGAGCGGTCACAAGCTGCAAATTGAGGGAGCAGCAAACCCCCTGCTGGTTTAAAAGTCCTGGGCCCGCTCTGCCAAGACACTAATTAATATAATAAAAAGCACAGAGATCTTACTGAAAATTGACGGAGCAGGCTGCCCACAGCTTGCTGCCCACTCTCTGGAGCCTGCGTCTGCTGAGACTGTGACCAATTGTCTCCCTGGGAGGCTAAAGGAAGGGACAA